CAGCCTTCTGGATTCCAGGATGCCAATCGCCCTCATCATGTCTGTAAGCTCAAAAAGGCCCTTTACGGCCTCAAGCAGGCTCCTCGATCATGGTATCACAGATTTGCAGGTTTCATTCAGACTATTGGGTTCCACGGGTGCAAATCTGACACATCCCTATTCGTCTTCTCTCATACCACGGAGACAGCCTACCTCCTGCTATATGTTGACGACATAGTTCTCACTGCCTCTTCCTCTGCACTCCTTCAGAACATCATTCAGAAACTCAAGGCTGAGTTTGCCATGACAGACATGGGTGACTTGCATTTCTTCCTCGGCATCAATGTTCATCGCACTCCCACTGGGATGTTCCTCCATCAGACTCAGTTTACCCACGACATCCTGGAGCGGGCAGGGATGGTCTCTTGTCGCCCCATCTCCACGCCAGTGGACACCAAGACGAAACTCTCCTCATCAGCTGGTACGGCACTCCCAGATCCGACGTTGTACAGATCCGTTGTTGGAGCCCTGCAGTACCTCACCTTCACTCGACCAGACATCACATACGCCGTCCAGCAGCTGTGCCTTCATCTCCATGCACCTAGAGACGCACATCTCACGGCCATGAAGCGCATTCTTCGCTACCTTCGTGGTTCGGCCACCCATGGCATTCACTTGACACAATCCAGTACAGATTTTTTGCAGGCTTATTCTGATGCAGACTGGGCCGGCTATCCCGACACTCGCCGCTCCACCTCTGGTTACTGCGTGTTCTTGGGCGACAATCTAGTCTCCTGGTCGTCGAAACGCCAGGCCACCACGTCCCGATCAAGTGCAGAGGCTGAATACCGGGCTGTGGCCAATGCCGTTGCAGAAACTTCGTGGGTCCGAAATCTTCTCCTTGAGCTTCAGCAGCCCCTACGACGTGCCACTCTCGTGTTCTGCGACAACATCAGCGCCGTCTATCTATCATCCAATCCAGTGCAGCACCAGCGGACCAAGCACGTGGAGGTCGACATACATTTTGTCCGCGACAAAGTTGCACTCGGTCAGGTTCACGTCCTTCACGTGCCCTCCTCTTGGGTCATACGACTGTATAAGTGGTTTCCTGACGGTAGAGACGAGAAGGAGCTCAAGTTTAGGTCGGACCCTTAAGCTGGAGGAGGTGTAGGCTGCATCGGCCCTCGTACGATTTATATAATTAATATAAATGATAGAAACATTAATAATACAATGGTATGGACATATCTGAAGGATTATACCGAGACCTACTATGATTAAGATTGAAGCCTCTACTATATATTGATGTAACCTCTACACAATTATTCAATGAAAATATTTCTTCTTCAACCAGTCCTATTGACTTCAACGTTTGGACACTTAATGACCAAAATATGACGATGATAATGACCATCACAAACAATGAACATCATAATAATGACCAAAACATAACAACAATAATGACCGGTTATATCTTCTTTAGTCCTATTTAGAGAAAAAAACTTAAAGAGTGTTATTCAAAGAAAATGATTATCTTTTAGTTTTATTTACAACAAATCTTTCTATATTATACTACGGCGTATGAAATAAATTTTTTCAGTGCTTAGACCTCAAGATAATGAAAGTCTAATTTCACACGTGTTCTTTAGTTAGGTTGCTCCCGTCCCATTAGAGGAAAATTGAGGGGATTTTCCATGTTTTTTTTCTCAATTGCTTTATTGAATCTGTTTATTTGGCATATCTATGTGCGGTATTTGGTTTGAACCTAGAAGAATTAGGACCCATGGGATTGAGCAGTTCAACAAGAATGTTGTAAAAATGGTTGAGAAATTTGATTTTATATGTTTGCTTGAATTGTTGTGAATGCAATACAATTTATTTATATTTCTATTTTTTTAAAAAAAAAAAGAATATTTGGAGAAAAGATAAAAGTAATTTTATCAACTCCGTTTTGGAGCTGGTGCATTTCATTTTTTAGTTTAGTTCATCGGGCATAGACTAAGCTTATTCCGTAATTATTGTTGTTTGTTTTTGATTAATCTCTCGAGGATGTTTGTGTTTTGTGAATTTTTACTTAAAGAAAGTGTTGAATGAATTCTCTTTTTTCCCTTTCCATGTGTTGAGTGATACAAGACTTGAAATTAAAGTTCTTCATTAGTTATTTTTTTCTGTCACAACTTTTACATAATCACGAGTGCTTTTTGCAAATAAATCCCCAACTTCTTGAATCAGAAGATGCAAATGATGCACCTTGTCCTCCATGTCCGCATTCATGTCATGAATATCAACCTCGGGAAAACATGCATAGATTTTTTTACTAGTATTTTGACCCGTGCCATGCACGGATTTGAACGAAATATTTTTTTGATTCTACAATTTTTCTTTAGTTTTTTAAAGATCTATTATTTTGGACTCTAACTTTTAGGATTTGTTTGAGAAAAAATTTCAAGAACATTTTAATTTTACTTCTGTTCGGTTGCGTAAGTGACAGAAAATTATTTTTTAAGAAATATATTATCTTAAAGAAGAGAAAATATCTTTTGTTTGTATTGAATGAAAATCTTTTTTTCCTGCTCAATCATCGAGTTTGATTCTTTGAATTCACTTCCCTACTCACTCACATCTCCTCCCCCCGCCCCCGCCTCTAGCTAGCCCTTTCTCATGCCCCCGCCCCCGCCTCTGGTTATCCCAACCCCAATAAAATATAACTCTAGGATAAAGACTTGGTATTAATCATATATATTAAAAAAATTATGCTACCCAAAATATTTTAAAAGTATCTCAAAATATCTTTATTTTTTATTCAAATATCAATATTGTACTAATATAAACATTATGTTTCTTACAAATAATGGAAATTTGTTTTTTTGGAAAAACTTTATACTCCCTCCATCCCATTTTAAATTGCATGTTTGCCTTTTTTCTCCGTCCCAAAATAAGTTGCTTGTTAGTAATTGTTTTCGTAAACTTTTAAAAATGAAATACCTAAACTACCCCTAAAATAAGTCACTCTTCTTCACCTTATTTTCTCATTCATCATCACTCCTAAAAAGTAATGACAATTTCAGAAAATCAACTCTATTTTTTATTTTCCTTAAATATGCCCAAAAATCAAAATAGGCGATTTAAATTGGGACGGATGGAGTATCAAACAATGGAAAATGTGGGTAAAAATATTTTTTTATGAAATAGAAAATAATTTTCTAGAAACATATTTTTTAACAACCACCTTAACTTAGCTTTCGACATTTTTCAACTTCTTATATTTATTTCCATCTTTTAGTTTCTTCTAACTTAGGGGCTGTTTGGCAACTTTTGAATGGGTAAGTGATGAACCAGTAAGAGGTCTGAACCATTAAGTGCTGAACCAGTAAGAGGTCTGAACCATTAAGAGCTAATATATTGCTTAACTATTCAGAGGCAAATGTCTGATCAATTCAGATAAGAGGTCTTAACCATTCAGACTCTGTATAATACTTAACCATTCAGAGGCAAATCTCCTAACCATTCAGACATCTGAACCATTAAAAGGCTGAAACAAACAGTCTGAACCATTGAGTGCCGAACTATTCAGACATTTGAACCATTAAGAGGCTGAAACAAACAGCCTCTTATTCTAGTTAATTTAAATCTTCCAACTTCAAGTTTCTTTATACTATTTTCAGTTTCATATGATTTCTTTTTATTCATTTCAATAGTGAATAAAAAAAAGTATTTGCCTGCATTTTTCATAATAAAAGTACTAGGATATTGCTAAATCCATCCCCAAAATGACTATATCCACATATTTCACTAACTTTTGTTAGCTCAATTTCTTAGAATTAAAAATCTCAAATTTATATATAAAGGAAAGGAAAAAGGATAGGATAGGATATACTCCGTAATACGAAAGTCGTAAAATCTAAAAATTTAGTTCATATCTGGATAGAAATACATTTATTTCATATTATACTTAGTCTTGCTATAAAAAAAATCTAAGTAATTTAATTTGAGAATAAGATTGAACCAACCTCATATATGTATTATCCAATTTTTTTAAACTCTTGAACATAATAATGACATGCATCATTCTTTTAGAAAATAGTTTTAAATGTAATATTAAAGTTTTTAGTTACTTTCTCCGTTCCAGAGTATTTGTCCGCTTTCATTTTTGCACGCCATCCAATACACTTCTTTAATCTATTTTATCTTGTAATTTGTATATTAAAAAATTATAGAAATTATATATTACTCCGTAATAATCTATATGTTAAGACTAATCAAACAAGATCACACATGACTATATTTAGGCTTACACATTGAGAGAATTTGATGAGTCAAAATGCTTAGATGAACAGTTCCAAAAGTCAAAAGTGGACGAATATAGCAGGACGGAGGGAGTACTGGTAATGTATAATTTTTTTAAGTAATCCCAAAATAACCCTTTCTAATAAGCAATTTTTCCAAATCAATCCTAATTAACTATTATTTTCCTATATGATACTTTATAATTGAGATTTCTAGGATAAAGACTTGGTACCAATCATATATATTGCAAAAATTGTGCTACCCAAAATATATTCAAAGTATCTCAAAATATCTTTTTTTTTAATTCAAATATCAATATTGTACTAATATAAACATTATGATTCTTACAAATAATGGAAATTTTTTTTTTTTTGGAAAAACTTTATATCAAACAATGGAAAATGCTGAATCAAAATTTAATTTTGCCTCGAACCGGAGTGGCTTTTTTTTCATCAGCAAAATAAAGGTCAAGCAATTGGTTATTCCGCACCTTCACTCGTGTAAACGGGGTTCCTTCCAGCTTTCCAATACTCCAATATTGTTATGAACATGAACATGAAAAGTTCAAAATGACATGGCGTAACCAACCATATGAACATGAAATATCTGAAACAAACACCTAGGACTCAATGACAATGTTTGAAATGCCATGGCGTAACACACCATATGGCGTGCTTCATGTCCACTAACATGAAGACCAATATATGATAACTGTTCAATGTTAGTTATATAAACAAGGCATGCATCCTGTATTCGAGAGTGAAGTGGCCAAAAAAAACCTCTAAAAGAAATGCAACAATTGAATTCAAAATGTCAAACAGTAATAATCATTAGATACATATAAATCAGACGGGTAAAAGAGTACCTTTTCTAATTAAACAGGGATGAAATCAAACACACTGATAGTGTTGGGTAGGTCAAAGGTGTGGCTGGAAAGTGGAGAGAGGTATATGGTAGAACCAGTGCGTTCAACTTGAACCTTGAGGAAGATAACTCTTGTTTTATCAGACGTCACTTCAGGAAAAAGAACATCTTCAGGGGACCAAAGAGCAAAGCACAAAGTCCGGGGTCCAAAAGGAAACACAGCGTCAAACTGCCTATGAGCAACTAGTTTATCGACATTGTCTTCAAAGGGTGAGGTCCACTCCACATCCAACCAAATACTGCTCACTAAATCATAGGCCCCAAGAATCAAGGAGCGGTACTTCTTGCGGTTATGAATGAAGAGCACGTCGTCAGCAACCGTGGCGATGTGGTACCATTGCCGGAAACTCGGGGCAACGCATTTCCAATGACTACCTGTTCCAAGTTAATGATCCAAAATTATTTCTTAACTCATATTTAACTTAACAGCAAAAATGCCTTTTCAAAGTAACAAAATTTTACAACTTTTTTCATGCAATTCAGCTACTATTCTGACCATCAGCCATCTCCATCTCATCTCACAGTAAGAGCTAGTCTGTCTCTGCTTATTTCATGGCTTTAATTTGCTAAAGAAACTATAATGCTACAGACAAATGTTGAATGTCGCAACAAACAAAAGATAGCATTTGAAGAGGGAGGGAGTACCACTGCTTCCGTCTGGGTAGAAGGCGTATAGGGAAGGCTCGACGAGGTCACCACCGGACAACTGCAAAAGGATGCGGTTGTTGGCAGAGTCAGGAAGCACACAAAGTACTTGAGAACGAGCAAGATGAGAAGGCAAAGGTGCAGAGAAAAATGTCCAGTCCCCAACAGCAGGATCATAAACCTCTGGACTAGGACGATAGAACCCAAAACTGTATATCTTTCCATTAAGGGCAGCACAAAAAGGAACCCTGCGATCCACATTAGGGATTGGAACCCGACTCCACCCAAGCCCCAGATGAGAGGAGTCCAAATCAAGACAAGCCCCACCCAAATACAAATGCTCTCCCGGTTTTTGAACCAAGTGGTCAACAGAAGTATCAAAACCACCAACAATGTAGACATGAGAGCCCGAAACGACCATAGAACCCAAAAAATAGAGAGAAGGAAAGCAACACCGGTCAAGTTCATTCCCTTTCAGATTCATCATGTGAAATTCGGTTCTTATAGAATGAATCCGACTTGTATTATTGCCATCATCATCCACCTGGGGAAAAAGAATGAAAGATGAGAAGATACTAGTGCGGTCGCATGCTATTCAAGCACAGGTGGAGCATTTGGTGGGTTTAACATAGTTGAGACAGACTAGCTCATATTCATAACAATATTGGAGTATTTGAAAACAAACAACAATAATTACGGATTCAGCTAGTCTATGCCCGATGAACTAAACTAAAAAATGAAATGCACCAGCTCCAAAACGGAGTTGATAAAATTACTTTTATCTTTTCTCCAAATATTCCTTTAAAAAAAATAGAAATATAAATAAATTGTATTGCATTCACAACAATTCAAGCAAACATATAAATTCAAATTTCTCAACCATTTTTACAACATTCTTGTTGAACTGCTCAATCCCATGGGTCCTAATTCTTCTAGGTTCAAACCAAATACCGCACATAGATATGCCAAATAAACAGATTCAATAAAGCAATTGAGAAAAAAAACATGGAAAATCCCCTCAATTTTCCTCTAATGGGACGGGAGCAACCTAACTAAAGAACACTGGTGAAATTAGACTTTCATTATCTTGAGGTCTAAGCACTGAGAAAATTTATTTTATACGCCGTAGTATATAGAAATATGTTGTAAATAATACTAAAAGATAATCATTTTCTTTGAATAGGACTCTTTAAGTTTTTTCCCTAAATAGGACTAAAGAAGATATAACTGGTCATTATTGTTGTTATGTTTTGGTCATTATTGTGATGTTCATTGTTTGTGATGGTCATTATCATCGTCATATTTTGGTCGTTAAGTGTCCAAACGTTGAAGTTAATAGGACTGGTCCTATATTGGGAAAGTGACCATGTTTTAGTCTTATTTAGGTAAATTTCCTTAGTATATATTGGATAATTAAAATTATGCAAATACAAATTAGTAGGCTATAATGTTTGCTTACCATAGAAAGCAGTCGTTTAAAAATAAAAATAGAAATCAAATTTGTCTTCAATTATACTAACGTTATTTAACTACATTACCATATTTGCAAGAAGGTAATCTACAATACATGAAATTGTGTACTCGCTTCATTGTCTTTTGATATGAACTAGACTCGAACCCGTGCGTTGCACAGCCTAATTATAAATTATATATAATTAGGAGAAGCATTGATATAATTAAGAGATTAATTTTGGTTATAGTAAAGATACATAATATACATTAAAGAGGATGCGTTTTACAGCAATGCAAAATAAGCAATAATATAACTATAAGTTTTGGAAAACTTCTTTGTAGATTACATTTGCTGTTTTGTTCGCTGATTCAGGATCTTCACTAACAATCAAAATCTTTAATCCACTGCGATTAGTGACTCGTGATAATGCTACGTAAAGTTGTCCATGACTGAACACAGGTTTCTTTAGTAACAGCCCAACATGCATCAATGATTGTCCCTGACTTTTATTAATCGTCATAGCATAAGATATCATAATCAGAAATTGTTTTCTTTGAAATTTAAAAGGAATTCTTGTATCCGACGGTGTAAGCAACAATCGGGGGATAACAACTTCTTGACCAATATTTTTCCCTGTCAAGACTTTGCCTTGTATTAGATGATTGCCAAGTCGTGTAACGATCAACCTTGTTCCATTGCACAAACCTGAAGACTGGTCTATATTCCTCAACAACATCACAGGTGTCCAAATCTTTAACTTCAATTCATGGTTTGGGACCCCAGATGCTCGGATGTTATTAAAAATTCAGGAGAATGCATGTCACTTAAGAAATTTGAATTTGAATCGGATTTACACACCGCATCTGAACTCAAGTAACTTTTAGCTTTGCCTATTTGGTTCAATGAGGTCATGTATTCATTGATTTCATCAACCACTTCAAGAGTTGGTGCCAAGATTGCCTTGCTTTGCAAATAAGTCGGATCAACCGTGATATTGTGAAAGTCTGGATAAGTTGTGTAACGCCGCAAAATATACCCTAGAATTATTAATAAATAAATAATCAATTAATCAAAATTTTTTATAAATGTTTGTTGGGCTTTGAGCCAAAATGAAATATGTTTAAATATTCAATATCACAATCTAGATAAATCTTATAGAGATAAATCCAATAAGTTGACTTATTGTATGATCTTGATTGGGAACCTGAGTACAGACCCAAATTAAGAATAAATGAAGAAATTGTGAACTTTGAAATGATTTATTGAAATAAATCATGGAAATAGATAATATGAATTAAATGTGAGACTTTTTTTGAATAAAATTCAATTAAACCATATTTTGACTCAACAAAGCATTATTTATATGTTTGACCAAAAATGAAGGAATTTTTAGAGTCAATGATTTTTGTTAAGATTGACTTTTATGGATAGGTCTCAAAGATACAAATCCAACGGTAGATTTTATGAATAAATTTGATGTACATATTTTCAATTATGACATTTTAAATATGTAATTTGTATAAAAATAAGAAAAAGTCAAAGATGTGAACTTTTTGTAAAATGATTTATTGAAATAAATAATTACATTTAATAATATTGATTGAATATGAGACTAATTTTAATTACATATCAGTTAATTCAATTTTGATTCTGTCAAAGTCAACACCCAAAAATAAGCTGTCAGAAAAAGTATTTCAAATAAATATAAAAATTATATCATTAAATAGAATTTGACTGTCTGACCGCATTGGTTCAATCGGATTTCAATTCGAAGAAAGTTGGACAAAAAAGTGTACCCCAATTGGGACTAAATTAGTCCCAATCAGGGAAGAGTCGTGAGAATAACAGAGCCGCCCTCCCACGATCGTGTAAATGACGAAGAAAAACAGGAAAGCTCATTGTTTTCTACTTTCTCTTTACACTATATAAGCATGTATCCTCTCCCTCAATTCTTCATCAATTCTCTCCATTATTCTTTCTATTCTGTTCTTGAGAAAGTGAGGAGTGCGATGGTGCTGTCCGGAGAAGTTGAGGTCGCCGGAGCAAGCCATGGTGTTCGCCGGAAGTTTCGCCGTTTTTCCGCCGGAATCATCGTTTCACTTCAAAGTAAGCCCATAGATATATCTAGTGATTAGAATGTTCGTATAGATCGTTTCTACGTTCATAAATGGTCGTTTGGTTGAGTTTTGTGTTTGACATATGTGAAGAACCAAGAATCGTAAACCTTGAATTTGTTGTTAAAACTTCGAATTGATGCCTCTAAAATGGTCTACAAACCTTGGAGAACATTTCTATATAGTTTAATTGAAGTTTGGTGACAAAAAAATGGAACTTGAGAAATATGGGTTAGAGGTTGAAGATGATGAATAGTAACCCCTTCACCTCCTGCATTTTCTAACGGAACGGATAATCGTTCAAACACAACGGTGGACCGTTACGAACATTGTGAAGTCCAAAAATGCTATTTTTGAAGCTATAAAAGCCTATTTTTTTTCAATTATGATCAATATAAAAATAATTGTTAAAAATAAAAATAATGTTTTGACAAATAAAATTTTGTGTGATAAAATAAAAATGATGCTTTGACAAATAAAATTTTATGTGATGTATGACGGTAAGCTAGTGTGTTAACACCCGAAGCTAGGCCGCTAATTCTTATTGAATATTATGTTGATTATTATTAATTGATGATTGTGATGTTTAAATCTTGATAAATGTTCTGATTAAAAATGGTAATTATGAATGATTAAATTATAATGAATATATTGATGATTGTGAAAATAATATGAACTGTCAAGGGTATCTAGAAGACCTCTAAGATATACCCATATTAATGTTGATTTGAAAGGTATCTAGAAGAACTCTAAGATATACCTATATAAGTTAGGCCTTGCGGGTATGATGCCCGGTGGCTAGGGTTAAAACGTACGTACGGGATCCAAGAACCAAACTTGAGTACCTACTCGTTTGGGGGTACCACCCACCCTACAGTGAACACTACGCTGTCGGTTTTTGGTTGGCCTTAAGTGAAGGTAAGTTTAAGAT